CCCCTTAATTTATCTCATCTCAATGATTGACTACTAATACATGTTTTTATTGTGTGTTAGAATATTCAAGCCGAAAGAAACACAATTTATCATTTTAATATTGTACAAGAATGATGAACATGTGTCATGTTGGTGCGAGCACGAACTTCTTTGTCAATACCAAGCATTTGTCTCATTGCATTTGCATAGTTGGTAATGTCGCGCGTACATTATTAAGTTGGCAGACACCAACGATGTTGTGAATGATGGGCATGAGTCTAGTTGAGCGGTGGGTATCACAATTGGTGTTAGCAATGAAAATTAGACTTTTGATGATATTTGATATCTACCTCATTGGTTATTATGGGCAGTAGTATTGGCCTTGACGATGGTCATAAGTTTTGTTGGTGATTGTGGGTGTTAGTGTTATTGGCAATGATTTATTTTATCATTGTTGACTGTAATGAGCCATGACATATTTGGCAATGGTGGACGTGGGCTTGCTTGACATCAATGAGGGTATTGAGGATAAAGATAAAGAGAAAGAAAGAAAGAGGGAAAGACACCATGACTTTTAAAATAGAGAATCCGGTAACGGGAAAAATCACGAGGCTCAACTTAGTAAAAATAATTCAGTACAAGTTTGCAAGTACAAAAAAGGATATAATGTTACGCCAAATATATTGTTTGTCTGTACACAACATACAAAAAGAATTTGATGTATTTCAAATACAAAGATCCATAGCAATTGCCACCATGAGCTATTGCCGAGTTTACGAGACACTGTGTTTGGGATACATCAATGCACCCTATTCATGATAATTCATATATTGCTTATGGGCACTTCGTTACATTGTGTTCGAGGTACTTTTTTGCACCGTTTTCAGGATACCCCATTTCTGCTTTCGGTTATTTTCTTACACCGATTTCAGGGCATTTTGCTATATCGCATGGCTCACCGACAATGGTGAGCAAGGGGTGTCCTGCCCCAATTTAGGGTGACCTATGAGCTGTGGTCGATGGTTACAGGGGATGAAAGTTAACGAAAACGACTAAATTACCCCAAACTACATACGAAAAATATTAAATTATCCCCTTAACATTGAAGACTTCCAACCATGATAAAAGCTCAATATAAATACTGTCTGAAAGCAGGTTGGCATTAAATGTTGAATAATCTCAAATAAAGCCATGTAAATCTTGTTTTTACAATTCTACCCATGCCACGTAAGATCAAACTACCATCACAATATGATAATTTATTTATTAGGAGCATTGAAGGATAAAAAGGTAATTACATATTTGTTTAATTGTGACAGGTAGACTGTATTTTTTTTTTCGCCATCCACCAAAATTATTGATGGTGAAATTACATAATTGTTACCGGTGGTCACGGGAAAATTTCCTTTGGCCAAAAGCATTATTAAATATTTTTGATTTTATAAAATATTTCAAAAATATAATTTTGGAAATATTTTATTGATAATTCTGGTTATTTAATTATGATTTTCTAAACTGGGTTGCTACTTGCCGAAAAATTTATAGCAGTTCAATGATAATTTAGCGTATCAGCGTTACATAAAAATCAAACACAGATACAAATAATAGAGAAATAGTAGGAGGTGATATCAGGATTTTTTTTCGTGGAATCCTCCGAATGAAAATAACTATAGTCAAAAACATATATTATTTCTTTATAAGTGCACGGGTATACTCTTCTTATGAATTAGAAAAGATGGAATTACAATGTTGATACTATAAATGCACAATGGTGATTCGCCTATAATAACTGCAGTTGAGTTGTAACAAATATAGTTGATCACAATGGTTGTAGTTGGTGGCTACGGTAGCAAGAGTTGGTCACAGAGGCTGCAATTGAAAGCGACAATAGTAACAGCAGGCCACAGAGTTCATTGCTTGTCTACAAAAACAGTGGATGGAAGTTGCAATATTGTCAGTTGATCGTAGAGGTTGTAGTTGAAACAAGTATCAGTCAGTTTATTTATATATCTAACATCTGAACTTTTTTTTTTTTACATTTCTACCAACCATAATAAAAATTAAAATTTAGGCGCTATATATGTCAATACATAGAAGGGAATTGAGCGGTCATGTGGTATATATGTAAATATACCTATAATTTAATGCCATCAGCCACCATCCTCCTCAATTCCTGCTTTTACATCATCGTCGGTTAATTAAGAAAATGCATTCCATGTATTTCATTCAACGACTTAACCAAATTGATTCATTAATTAAAAAGTCAATTTTAAAAATATTTATTTAGCAAAATTTGGTCGGAACTGACACCAACATTTCAAGGATTTATGGGGGTTTGGCACAACTATGCTGTTTTTATTCGAGTTTTGTTGAACCCAGATCTCACACGAAAAAATAGAGCCTAAAGAGGAGAGAATGAGAGAGACAGAGAGAATAAAGAAAGTGTTATATAGTTGTCTCTCTTGGAGGAAAAAAAATTTTTTTTACGAGAAAATATTACGTGTGGTGACCGTACGTTCGGTTGACGGTTCGAATAGTCCGTCATGTGATCCATGATGGCATGGTCACACCTATACTGTCGTCCGACCGCACATTATAGGTTTTTCCCTCTTTATATTCACCATTTCCTCTCTATATAAGTTCATTTCATTATAAACAATACATAAGTAATAATTATATTCAGATCACTCTGGATTTCTAGCCACATCTCTCATGTGCGAGTTGAGAGGGCCGAGTGGAGAGGCCGGCTGATGAGGGCCAACTCGGGAGGGCTAAGTGACGGGTGGCTGAGTTCAGCAAGTTTCTTGAACAATTTGAATACATTAAACTATGAAGAAGGATTTTTGTGTAAAGGACAATGCTAACATTTGCCATGTCCAATATTTATTTAACTTGGGATAA